GCTTGAGTCCAAGAGTTCAAGACCAGCCTGGGCAACAAGGCAAAAACCCATCTCTACAAAAAAATAGATAAATTAGCCAGGCATAATGGCACATGCCTGTAGTCCCAGCTACTTGGGAAGTTGACACGAAAGGATCCTGAGCCTGGAAGGGGTCAAGGTTGCAGTGAGCCATGATGATGTCACTGCACTCCAGGCTGGGCGGCACAGTGAGACACTGTCTTAAAAAAAAAAAAGTGGCGGCCGGGCACGGTGGCTCACGCCTGTAATCCCAACACTTTGGGAGGCCGAGGCGGGTGGATCACGAGGTCAAGAGATCGAGACCATCCTGGTCAAAATGGTGAAACTCCGTCTCTACTAAAAATACAAAAAATTAGCTGGGCATGGTGGCAGGTACCTGTAATCTCAGCCACTCGGGAGGCTGAGCCAGGAAATCGCTTGAACCTGGGAGGCAGAGGTTGCGGTGAGCTGAAACCACACCACTGCACTCTAGCCTGGGCGACACAGCAAGACTCCATCTCAAAAAAAGAAAAAAGAAAAAGAAAGGAGAGGTTGCAAGGCAGGTAAAATACTTGGCATCAGCTCCACAGCTCCGTCAGGAAGCTATTGCCCCTGCCTCTGCCTCCCATCGGTTATGGCTCTTCGGTGAAGTGCTACCTCTGGAATTCCTTGACATTAAAAGTCAACTCCCCAGGCCAGCGTGGGACCCACCCAGTCATTTGTCAACAAACGTGGTGCTCAGCCTCATGCTTGTGACCCAAGGGTGTGAAACTCTAGCCTACTCTCCTGTGGCTTTCTAGCCGCCCCCCCACCACCGCCCACAAAGCCTTGCTCTGTTGCTCAGGCTGGAATGCAGTGGTGCAATCTCGGCTCATTGCAACCTCTGCCTCCCAGGTTCAAGTGATTCTCTAACTTCATACTCCCAAGTAGATGGCATTATTGGCACCGGCCACCACATCCCACTAATTTTTGTGTTTTTAGTAGAGACAGGGTTTCACCGTGTTGGCTAAGCTGGTCTCGAACTCCTGATCTCAAGTGATCAGTCTGTCTCAACCTCCCAAAGTGCTGGGATTACAGGCTTGAGCCACCATGCCCAGCCAGCCTCTGGGACTTTCTTCCTGGCCTCTCCCTTGCTCACAGAGAACAGCCAGGAGAGAGCTGAGCCCTCTCACTGGTAGGCCAGGAAAAGAAGGCTAGAGGGCCTTCCTGGAAGAAGACTTCCTGGGACTGGTTATTTTGTTCAATGGAGAAATGGGGGTCCCAGGATTTTGCAGAGCAAATTAGTAGCAAGGCTGGCACTAAAACCCAGAAGTCCTGGCCCACTAGCCTGGCCTCAGATTGGGGAAAGAAGGTCAGAGAGATCTAAAGCACATTTATTGCCAAGCGCAGTGGCTCACGCCTGTAATCCCAGCACTTTGGGAGGCTAAGGTGAGAGGATCACTTGAGGGCAAGAGTTCGAGACCAGCCTGGGCAACAAAGCAAGAACCAAATTCTACAAAACATTTAAAGATGTGCTGAGCATGATGAGGAATGCCTGTAGTCCCAGCTACTCAGGAGGCTGAGGCAGAGGATCCTTTGAGCCTGGGAGTTTGAGGTAACAGGGAGCCAAGATCACACCACTGCACTCCATCCAACATGGGTGACAGAGCACGACCCTGTCTCAAAATTAAATACATAAATAAATAAAGAGCATGTACTTATTTTACTGATATATATACATATATATATTTAGAGATGGGGTTTTGCCATGCTGCCAGGCTGGTCTCAAACACCGAAGCTCAAGCGATCTGCCAGACTTGGCCTCCCAAAGTGCTGGGATTGCAGACATGAGCCACTGCACCAGGCCTATTTGTGCACTTACTTATTTTAGAGACAAAGTCTCTCTCTGTCTCCCAGGCTGGAGTGCAGTGGCGCAATCACAGCTCACTGCAGCCTCAACCTCCCTGGGCTTAGGTGATCCTCCTGCCTCAGCCTTCAGAGTAGGAGTAGCTGGTACACATTTATCATGTGTGCACCTGTTTGTCCATCCAGCCTCACACCAGGCTTCTGCCAAGCCTGAGACACGCGATATCTGGAGGTCATGTGGCATGGAGGTTAAGACCACAGACTATCCACGTTCAAAAGAAGCACCCGGCCTGCTATGTGTCTTTGTTGGGTGACGGGGTAAATAACCACCCTGTGCCTCAGTTTACTTTTCAGTGAAATGGGGATTACCATAGTGTCCCCTTCATGGAATCCCTGCGAGGATTTAAGACAAATAAGGTACTTAAAAACAGCTCTGACTCTAACATTTTGTTTATTTATTTATTTTGAGACAGAGTTTCGTTCTGTCGCCAGGCGCCAGGCTGGAGTGCAGTGGCGCGATCTCGGCTTACTACAACCTCCACCTCCCAGATTCAAGCAATTCTCCTGCCTCAGCCTCCCGAGTAGCTGGGACTACAGGCACGTGCTACCATGCCCAGCTAATTTTTGTATTTTTTTAGTAGAGACGAGGTTTCACCATGTTGGCCAGGATGGTCTCAATCTCTTGACCTCGTGATCCAGCCGCCTCGGCCTCCCAAAGTGCTGGGATTACAGGCGTGAGCCACCGAGCCCAGCCCATTTTGTTTATTTTTATGTATTATTGATTTTTGAGACAGAGTCTCACTCTGTGGCCCGGGCTGGGGTGCAGTGCTGTGATCTTGGCTTACGGCAACCTCCACCTCCCAGGTTCAAGCGATTCTCCTGCCTCAGCCTCCCAAGTAGAGAAGGGGTTGCACCATGTTGGCCAGGCTGGTCTTGAACTCCTGAACTCGAGCGATCCACCTGCCCCAGCCTCCCAAAGTGTTGGGCTTACAGGCGTCAGCCACCGTGCCCCGCCCTGGCTCTGCCATTTTGTAACTAAGTCACTTCGGCTGTCTGCCTCAGTTTCCCCATCGCCCAGGGTGCTACATGGGTTATATGAGATAAGATTCGCAGTGCACTTTGATCCATGCCCGGCACATGGTAAGCGCTGACTATATGTATTAATAGTAACATAATTAAGTCTTGATTGTGGAGAGATAACAGCCTCTGCTACTCCAAACCTAGTCTTTGTGGGGAGGAAAGCACAGGTGTGTGGCAGGTGGAAGGGAGGGCGAGCCTAGGTGGTCCTCCTGCTGGGGCAAGAAGCCCCTAAGCACCTGCCCCCACCTGAGCAGCTCGGGGGGGGCCTGGCCCTGGAGGAACTTAGCCCAGCCTGGCTCTGCAGCACCCCCTCCCGCGGCCCCCCGCTTCCCGCCCTCACCCCGCCCTGCGTCCTCCGCAGCTCCCCCAGGGCAGCCCAAGGAATGCGAAGAGGTAAGTGGGGACAGGGAGGAGGGCAAGCCGCCTGGGAGAGACAAAGGGCCCGAGTCTGAGCGAGACACACAAAGACGCGAGGAGGCTGGGGAGACAGGGGAAGTGGGACAAGGACGCGGGGAGGGACCCGGTCTGGAGGCCGGACTCGAGCCCAGCTCCACCCAGCCCGGCCCGGCCAGGCCAGCGCCGCGCGGGGGTCGGTCTGTGCTGCCCCCTGGCGGGCGGCTGAGAAGGCGGCGCGGGGCAGGTGTGGGAGGGGAAGACCGGGGCGCTCAGGGAGACAGGGAGGGAAGGACGCAGAGAGCTGGGCAGGGATGGAGACACTTGCACGCGGAGACAAGAGACGCCGCGAGGGAGGCAAAGAGACAGAGACAGGGAGACACAGAGACGGACAGAGAGAGACGCACAGGGACAGAGAAGCACAGAGATAGAGATAGAGACACACAGAGATAGAGAGACAGAGATAGAGACAGAGAGACACAGAGATAGAGAGTCACAGAGACAGAGACACACAGAGACAGAGACACAGAGATAGAGACAGAGACACAGAGACAGATACAAAGACAGAGACAGAGAGACAGAGACAGAGAGACACAGATAGAGACAGACACAGCGACAGAGAAGCACAGAGATAGGGACAGAGACAGAGAGACACAGAGCCAGAGGGTCACACAGAGCCAGAGCGGGACACAGAGACAGAGAGTTACAGAGACAGACAGACAGATTTAGAGAGACCCAGAGACACACGGAGACAGAGACAAAGAGGCACAGAGACAGAGACAGAAAGACACACAGAAACAGAGGCACAGAGATACAGAGACACACAGAGACAGTCACAGAGATAGAGACAGAGATACAGAGATGAGTCAATGATGGAAAGAGACATGGGGACCAAGTGACCAAGAATCCGTGACAGACAGGCCAGGCGCGGTGGCTCATGCCTGTAATCCCAGCACCTTGGGAGGCCGAGAAGGGAGGATCGCTTGAGGCCAGCCTCAGCAACATAGTGAGACCCACCCGCTGCCCCCTTGCCCCATCTCTTTTATTTAAAAAAAAGGAAGAAAGAAAAAAGAACAGTGACAGACAAAGGGAGACCAGAAAGAGAGCGATACCGAAGCATGAGGACCGAAAAGACCCAGAGAGGCAGAAATATCGGGACAGAGAGGGAGACCCAAAGAGGGTGAGAGAGACACAAAGCCACCTAAGAGACCGAGAAATCCAGAAAGAAACGAGTGCAGCGACACCTACAGTCCGGGGCAGAGATTAGAAACGGACGAGGGTACGAGAGACGGGCTCAGGACCAGGGGCGCGACCAGAGGGGAGGTCGCACCACCGGGACGTGCTGGGGGCAGGACCGTGCGACCCCGCGTGCCTCAGGCAGGTGTGACTAGAGGACCCGGGCTCGCAGGAATGGGGAGGATTCGAACTGTGGGCGGGACTGAAGCCAAGGCAGAGCCGAGACCCGGCGAACTCCGGCGAGGGCGGGGGGGCGGGGCTTCGTGGGGGCGGAGTCGGCTGGAAGCGTCGAAGGGGGCGTGGCAGGACCTGGGCGAGGCGGCCGGTAGACAGGGGGCGGGGCGCGGGAGCTACTCGGGCCCGAGGGGGCGTGGCTAGACCCTGTCTGGGGCGTCACTTGACGCCTGGAGCCGACGGAGACAGAATTCTGGGGCAGTGGCGACCTCAGAATCCTGGGGAGGAGCGAAAATGGGATCCCGCGGAGGAAAACGCGTGGAATCCGGGGGGCGGGGTCAGAACGCCAGGAGGGGGCGGGGCCGGAGCCAGGGTCGGCTCGGCTGGGGGGAGGAGCTGGTGGATCCTGTGACGTCAGCGAGTCCGGACCGCCCGAGCTGAGCGAGGGGCCCGGGGTGCCGAGCCGGGCGAGCCGGGCGAGCCGGGCGGGGAGAGCCGGGCCGGAGAGCAGAACAGGGAGGCCAAAGCGCGGCGGGAACCGACCCGGAGCCGGAGCCGGAGCCCCCCAGGCACCTGCTCGCCCGCCTGGCCGATCGGCCCGCACAGAGTGGCCCGCGGGCCCCCGGCGGGGCCCGGTCCCCTCCCGGGCCCTCCATGGCCCGGGCCGCAGCCCTTCTGCCGTCGAGATCGCCGCCGACGCCGCTGCTGTGGCCGCTGCTGCTGCTGCTGCTGCCGCTGCTCCGGGAAACCGGTGAGAGGAGCGGACGGCCCCCCGTCCCAGCGCGGACCCCCTTCACCCCTGCCTTCCGAGCTGGGGAAGCCGAGCACCTTCCCCGCCCACCCCCTACTCCCCGAGCCCCCTCTCGCGCGCGCCAGCTTCCTGGCTGGCCCCACCGACTCCGATTTTCTCGCGGAAACTCCGACCCCTCCTCTCTGCATCCCTCTCACCGCCCCTCACCCCGGCCCATCCGTCTGAATCCACCTGCCCATCCCACGCTGGCTTCTCTGTCCCCCACCCCTTTCTTGGATTCCCGCGCCGAAAGGGTTAAATCCTAGGAAGGCCTGGCGCCCCCTCCCCACCCCGCGCCGAGCAGTTCACCCCGATCTGGGTCTCCGTCTGCTATACCCCTCTCAGGAATGTGGGGAATGTTTCCCCCACCCCTCGCAGTAGGGTCGCGAGGAGGAGGCGAGACCACCCCCTTCCCCCATTTTTCCTTCTTCCCGGCGTGGTTGTCTGAGGCCCGGAGAGAACTGAGGACAAGGGGACCTGATTCGGGTCCCCCGGAGGGCAAAGGATGAGAGTTCTGGCGACTTAGGGAGAAGGGCCTGAGCTCGGAGTTCCAACCCGGAACCTCAGGAAGTTGAGGGCTCCGACTCTGTGGACTCCAAAAAAATTAGGGGCCGGGGGCTCTGCCTCCTGGGTCCCTGGTAGGATGGAGGCTAGGCGCTACGTCTAACTACGTCTAACTGGGATCTAGGTAAAAGTGGGGGCGACAGAGGATCTAACTTGTATGTTCTGGATTTAATTGTGGGCAGGAGGTTCCGTCTTCTGGGTTCCAGGCAGAACCGGGGGGCAGGAGGCTCGATCTTGTGGGCTTCAGATTTAATTGTAGGCAGAAGAATGTCTTCTCACATCCAGATAGAAAGTGGGAGCAGGGGGCCCCGTCTCTTGGGCTCCAGATATGATCAAGGGTGGGAGGCTCTGTCTTGCGACTGTCCGGGATAGAACGGGAGGCCGAGTCCAGAGGCTGGGAGCCCCCTCCCTTTCCCTGTGAACGGTCGGTGGCGGCGGAGACGTCCCCGGGGAAGTTTTTCTGGTTTCACTCTCCCGAGCCCGGGAGGGGCGGGGCGGGCGCTCCTGGCTCAGGGTTTCGGACTCCCGGGTTTCGGGGACCTTATCTATCCTCCGGTCGCGCCTTTGTCCTCAGAGCAACAGCAGAAGGTGGATGGGTGGAGCCGCCGCCCTAATCCGCCGTCCCTCCCGTCGCTCTGCCTTGGACCCCCTGACGTCCTTCCACGTACCCCACTTGGGGAGGAGAGCGGCCCCCTTGGGGAGGGAGGGGCTGGGAGGGAACACTTGATAGAGGCGCTGGCCCCGCCCCTTGCAGGTGGATTCCCAGGGACAAACTCTGGAATGCTGGAGTTTCCCCAGGGTTTGCACAGAAAAGAGCTCAGGGGGGATCTTGGGGGAACCCTGGTCACCTCTCTGGCTTCATTTTCCCCAGGATGGCTCTCAGTGGCCTTCCAGCTTTGACTCAGAGTGGGGACTCCCCTTCCATCCCCTGCCTCTCCTTTCAGGCAGAAATAGGGAGATGAGATGAGAACTGGCACCTCTGGGTGAATTCTCCGAGCCCACCAGACTCTGAGCCTACTGTTGGCTTGGTGCGTGATCTCAGAAGGCTCCAGCTTGCCGTGGGAAACGGGTCCTGTTTCTGTTTCCGTCTTGCAGATGAGGAATCAGACTCCTCAAAGGCAAAGCCTCGGTTCTCAAGGTCTCACTGCAGCTCCCCAGAAAGCCAGGCTCCAGCTCTTCAGAGCCCCCCACTGGGTGGGCTCCAGGAAGTGCTTTCTGAGTTTCCATGTCCTCCCTCCTAATAAAAGCTGAAATGATCCTTTCCCTGCAGACCATCCAGAAGGCTGTGAGGTCCCCCCCCACCCCAATTCCCTGTGAAAGCTCTTAGCACCTGGGGAACGAGCTGTTGGCCCTTTCCTGAACCCCCCATCCTTCGCCTCTGCTGTGGGCTGGCTGGCTGGCACGTGCTCTCTCTCTCTACTCTCTGTGTGTGTGTGTCTGTGTGTGTGTGTGTGTGTGTGTCTCTCTCTCTCTCTCTGTGTCTCTCTCTCTTTCTCTCTCTCTCTCTGCGTCTCTATCTCTCTGTCTCTGTCTCTCTCTCCCTCTCTGTGTCTCTCTCTCCCTCTCTCTCTCCATGTCTCTGTGTGTGTGTGTCTCTCTCTCTATGTCTCTGTGTGTGTGTGTGTCTCTCTCTCTCCCCCATCCCTATTTCCCTCCTTCCCTCACTTTCGTTCCCCCTCTTTATCTCTCTTCATTCTCGCCCTCTCTCTCTCCAACTCTCTTCTTGCTCTTTCTCTTTTTCCCTCTCCCCATCTCTCTCCCTCCTCTCCATCCTTCTCTGTGTACCTGTCTAGCTCCACTGCCTCCCCAGCTGGGCCTCCTCAGGGAATGTCAGTGCACCACCTGGGCCCCCAGCTGGGCCACCTCCCTCCCCACTTCTCCCCATCTTTCTTCCCTGCCCGTCCATGTGTCCATGTCCGCCAGGCAGCCCCATGTAGTGGAGGAGGAGGGCAGCAAAGGGACTGCTGCCTGGCTGTCTCCTCTCATTAGAGAAGGGGGACTGGGCAGAGGAGAAGTGGGAGGGGGAGGTATAGAGAGGCTGGAGCTACCAAGATGGGGACAGAGGCCAACAGAGGGAATCGGTCAGCAACAGATTTAGGAATGGGGTCAGAGACACATGGACCCAGAGGATGGAGGGAAGTGAAATGCCAGCACAGTGTGGGGGCAGTGAAATGCCAGCACGGGGGTGAGGCCGAAAGACACTGGAATGGGACAGAGGAGGGTGGGGGAAGGGAGCTAGACATAGATACCAGATGAAGGCAGGGGCAGCCAAAGGAAAGGGGTTTGGTGACAGGCAGGGAGGCCCAAAGACCCCAGCTATGGGAGAGAGGAGATGCCGTGACCCATGGAGGTCAGGGTACAGGGGACCTCCAGGCCAGCGACATGCGGGGGCCACAGGGAGTGATGAACAGAGGAGGGACAGGGAGCTGAGCACATGGGCCAGCTCCTCCGCCCCTGCCTGGGATGCTGTTACATTTTTAATGTCCCAGCAATGCTGACAAATGGAGCAGGAGGGGGAGGAGAAGAGGGGACCCGGCAAGATGGGCCAGGCTATGAGAAGCTGTGGCAGAGGTCTGGGGAGACAAGGCACTGGAGACCCAGGAGGCAGGGAAACCTCATGGTCAGAGACAGAAACAGACACCCTTAGAGACGCATACCAGAGGCTTGGGAGATGAGACCCCCAGGAATCGAGGCAGAAAGCCAGGTTCCAGAGATTGGGAGACCCAGACGGAGAGGGACCGGAGATGTCAGACATACAGAGGGAAGAGAGTGACTAACGGGGACAGGGTACTTTCTCGGGCTAATGAAAATGTTCTATAATTGCTCGGGTGATGGATGGCCAACTGTGAATATACTAAAAGCCACTGAAGTGTATGTACACTTTAAATGGGTAGATTGTATGGTGTGGGAATTATGTCTCAATAAAGCCATCATGGAGAGAGAGAGAATAAGAGAGGCACAGAGCAGAGACCAGAGACTCTGGCAGACACAGATGAGAATGACAGAGGCCAGGCACAGTGGCTCATTCATACCTGTAATCCCAGCCCTTTGGGAGGCTGACACAGGAGAATCACTTGAACCCAGTTCAGGGCAGCAGTAAGCCCTGATTGCACTACTGCATTCCAGCCTGGGCCACAGAGCGAGACCCTGTCTCAAAAGAGCAAAGAGTAACAGAGACCCCGAGAGAGCCTGGGAATTGGAGACACAGAGGGGCAGGGACCCTAATAACTAGACACAGAGAGAGAGCATTAGAAGAGATCCTGGAAGACGGAGATAAGACACTAAGAGACAGCAGAAGACCATTAAAAGACTTTCTTCTCTCTTTTTTGTTTTTTTGAAGATGAGGTTTCACCATGTTGGCCAGGCTGGTCTTGAACTCCTGACCTCAGGTGATCCTCCCGCCTCGCCCTCCCAAAGTGCTGAGATTACAGGCATGAGCCACTGTGCCCGGCCCTCTTTTTTTTTGTCGCCCAGGCTGGAGTGCCACAGCGCAACCTTGGCTCAGTGACTGCAACCTCTGCCTCCGGGGTTTGAGCACAGTGGCTCACGCCTGTAATTCCAGCACTCTGGGAGGCCCAGGCAGGGGGATCACTTGAGCTCAGGAGTTCGAGACCAGCCTGGGCAACATGGCGTAACCCTGTCTTTGCAAAAAATTTAAAAATTAGCCAAATGTGGTGCTGTGCACCTATAGTCCCAGCTACTCGGAAGGATGAAGTGGGAGGATCACATGAGCCAGAGAGGTTGAGGCTGCATTGAGCTGAGATTGCACCCCAGTTCCCCAGCCTGGGCAACAAAGCAAGATGCTATCTCTAAAAACTGAACAAAACACACAGATTAGAGGAGGTCAGGGGGCAGGTGCAGAAATCCAGACACAGACAGACTGCCCTACATCCTGGCTGTTGCTGTCCCTGCTCACCCCCCAAACCAGCTCCCAGATTTCCACTGTGGGGGTGGGCACTGTGATTAATGCAATTAATTAACTAACGAGGTGGCTCAGGCAGCAGCTGAGGCCAGTACTCAAAGCCTCTGGCCTTCAAGGGCAAGCTTGAGTCCCGCCACACCTCATCATGGGAGGGTGGGTCGCTGTGTTTTATGGATATGTGGGGCGGTGGGGGGAAGCCAAGCCCTGGGGAGCCAGCCAGGCGGGAGTCCAGGAACCCAGCCCCTCCTCCCTCAGACCTAGGAGCCCAGCCTGCCATCCTTCCTCCCTTAGACCCAGGAGCCCAGGCCTCAGCCCCTCCTCCTTCAGACCCAGGAGTCCAGGCCCCCAGCCCCTCCTCCCTCAGACAGGAGTCCAGGCCCCCAGATCCTCCTCCCTCAGACCCAGGAATCCAAGCTCCCAGCCTCTCCTCCAGGGTTCCATAAGTCACTCTGCACCCTCCTCGCTGCCTTGGCCT